CCAGTAAGCAAGAAACATTTTGGAACATTCCAGTGACATTGTAGCAATGTTACAACGTTATATGCAGTGCTGCTGAAATGTTCCAAAACGTTTCTTGCTTATTGGTCATCTATTTCGATATTCACGTACCAGAGCTGAACTCTAGTATTTCTAATTTCTGGAAGATCAGATTACTGTTGTCGGTCTTGATGTGCATTTCCTCGTTAGTATTCTTTTGTAAAACAACGCCGCATCTGGCACTCGCCTCCACCAACGCCTTTTCGTCTGCCGACGCCGCCTGCAATATGTCATGTGTGTTCGTATACTTTTTTACATAGATTTAATCGCGTTAGTTTACACTTCATCTTAGATGGGAGTTATTAGTGGGATACTGTATCGTAAATTTGCCGTATGCGAGCTATTATTTTTACCTGATATTCCGGCAGGTCCGGATGCATCATCAACGAGCTGTTGACCCTCGTGACTTTTTTCAATCTGAAACTCTCACGGAACAGAGTACGTCTGGTTACGACCTCGGGACGTCGACTCGGCGGCGCGATTTGGACCAAGTGGCATAACGATATGCTTATCATGAAATGCCAAATGTCACCCTAAAAAATCATGGATCTTTAATAATATTTTTTTAATAACACTAAAATTTTTGCTTTTTGGCAAACACAATATTATTAGTTATGTACATTTATGATACTGATATACAATCGTTATTGATTATCATTGTTTTATTATTAATTATAATTGGCATTAATTAATAATTCAGTATTCGTAAATAATTGCCGTCAAATATTGGAGTGGTAATTAATTACTCTTGCATCAAATCACATGGCATACATTCATCAGTATCTTTTATGATCTTTTATGATTTTTAAGTACAGCATATGAATTCTTTTAACTAAAATAATATCGTATTTTTTTAATTAATAATCCCTTTAATGATAAAATCAGTATTTTCTCCTTTTTTTACCTCCCACGATGACATTTTGATGGCCTCTGTCTCGTTTCCGTTTGGTGGCAATAAGTGAAGATTTCCGTCGCAATCTTTTTCCATATACAAGTTGCCGTTAACTGAGCAACGCCTGAACACCATCAAATTTTCAGTGAGCGTGCCAGTCTTGTCGGTAAACAGATATTCAACCTGGCCGAGTTCTTCGTTCAAGTCTGACGAATTGGCGACGGCCGGCTGATTGTTATCCTTGTCATACATATCCAAGTCCCAGCCGAAGAAGAAGGAGCCGAAAAATTTTTGTAGTTCTGTTGAAAAGCACGTAAACTTTCATCGATATATTGAAGAATTATTTTTTTCGAACGCATCTTGTACTCTTTAAAACTTTTAGATCTCTTAAATGTAAAAATTAATATATACATATATATGTATATATTAATTTTTACATTTAAGAGATCTAAAAGTTTTAAAGAGTACAAGATGCGTTCGAAAAAAATAATTCTTCAATATATCGATGAAAGTTTACGTGCTTTTCAACAGAACTACAAAAATTTTTCGGCTCCTTCTTCTTCGGCTGGGACTTGGATATGTATGACAAGGATAACAATCAGCCGGCCGTCGCCAATTCGTCAGACTTGAACGAAGAACTCGGCCAGGTTGAATATCTGTTTACCGACAAGACTGGCACGCTCACTGAAAATTTGATGGTGTTCAGGCGTTGCTCAGTTAACGGCAACTTGTATATGGAAAAAGATTGCGACGGAAATCTTCACTTATTGCCACCAAACGGAAACGAGACAGAGGCCATCAAAATGTCATCGTGGGAGGTAAAAAAAGGAGAAAATACTGATTTTATCATTAAAGGGATTATTAATTAAAAAAATACGATATTATTTTAGTTAAAAGAATTCATATGCTGTACTTAAAAATCATAAAAGATCATAAAAGATACTGATGAATGTATGCCATGTGATTTGATGCAAGAGTAATTAATTACCACTCCAATATTTGACGGCAATTATTTACGAATACTGAATTATTAATTAATGCCAATTATAATTAATAATAAAACAATGATAATCAATAACGATTGTATATCAGTATCATAAATGTACATAACTAATAATATTGTGTTTGCCAAAAAGCAAAAATTTTAGTGTTATTAAAAAAATATTATTAAAGATCCATGATTTTTTAGGGTGACATTTGGCATTTCATGATAAGCATATCGTTATGCCACTTGGTCCAAATCGCGCCGCCGAGTCGACGTCCCGAGGTCGTAACCAGACGTACTCTGTTCCGTGAGAGTTTCAGATTGAAAAAAGTCACGAGGGTCAACAGCTCGTTGATGATGCATCCGGACCTGCCGGAATATCAGGTAAAAATAATAGCTCGCATACGGCAAATTTACGATACAGTATCCCACTAATAACTCCCATCTAAGATGAAGTGTAAACTAACGCGATTAAATCTATGTAAAAAAGTATACGAACACACATGACATATTGCAGGCGGCGTCGGCAGACGAAAAGGCGTTGGTGGAGGCGAGTGCCAGATGCGGCGTTGTTTTACAAAAGAATACTAACGAGGAAATGCACATCAAGACCGACAACAGTAATCTGATCTTCCAGAAATTAGAAATACTAGAGTTCAGCTCTGGTACGTGAATATCGAAATAGATGACCAATAAGCAAGAAACGTTTTGGAACATTTCAGCAGCACTGCATATAACGTTGTAACATTGCTACAATGTCACTGGAATGTTCCAAAATGTTTCTTGCTTACTGG